AGCAGTTAACAGAGCCTCTCACCCTCTACAACAGAGTTAAAAGATCTTCTCACCCACCCCACAGCAGAGTTAACAGAGCCTCTCGGACCCCTGCAGCAGGGTTAGCAGAGCCTCTCACCACCTGCAGCCAAGTTAGCAGAGCCTCTCACCCCCAGCAGCAGAGTTAGCAGAGCCTCTACACCAGCAGAGCCTCTCACCACCCTGCAGCTGAGTTAGCAGAGCCTCTCGGCACCTTACAGCAGAGCTGGCAAACTACAGCCTGTAGGCCAAAATCTGGTCACCACTTATTTTTATAAATCAAGTTTTACCGACACACAATCATGCCCCTTGATTTACATATGGTCTGTGGCTGCTTTTGTGCTACCACAGCAGAGCTGAATTGTTGTGACATGCTATGGCCCATAGAGCCTAAAATCAGGGGCCATCTCATCGGCATGCAACCCACGGGGCCCCAGGCTTAGAAGATGCCACAAGTTTAGTTTAATGCTCTGCTGCCACTGTCTTGAAATTCGTGATTATTTTTAGCAAGGGGCCCTATGTTTTGTTTTTCACTGGGTCCTGCAAATTTTATAGCTGGTCCTACCTAGATTATTTTCTGTCTGGCCCCAAGGTTGGCCTACTTTTCCAATCCTTGACTCCCTTTTACTCTCTGGACAACTGAGAGCCAGTTGTTCCTGGTACCCTTGACAGTAATCCTATCAGTGAACATGATCAAGAGGCCTATATGAGCCAAGCACTGGGTTGAATGAAATAGAAGTCTGCCATTTATTTACCAGTTGTTGGGACCACACAGAATAAATCTCATCCCTTAAGCTTCATTGATTTGAGTAGGGTTCTTCTGTTCTTCCCCCTCAGCCTTTGTCTCCTCCAAACTGACATTGCTGTTTCTCATAAGACATGCACCATCTCACTGATCTTATCTAGACAGATAAGGTTTAGGTTTCCCTAAAACCTCTCTTGGAGCACAGAGCCCAAGCATTCCGGGTTCCCACTGTAGTCTGACCAGTGCAGAGTTGAGTAAATCAGTCACCGCCATCATTCTGGATGGTATATCTTTATTAGTGCATCCTGTGATCACATTGCCCATTTTGGAAAGCATTCCAAAAATCTCCAAAATCTCTGGGAGGAATCAGGTACCAAAATCTGGTAACAGAGGATGGTGTTCTTAAGCTCATTATACAGAAGTGTGAACTGACGCTTGGACAGGAGTGGCCTGCTTCTGTCTCCAAATTCTTAGTTTTCCCCTCCACCAACCAACACTCTTTGGGCTCTCAGTTTCTTCATCTGTGAAATGCACAGACTGGATCTCTTCCAGCTCTGGAATCCTGTGATGTGTCTTCTAAACGCAGACCCCAAAAGCCAAGTAGCCAACAGAAAGTAGAGGCTCTCTACCTAGATCTAAAACTCTGACGAAAAGCAAAAAGGTATCTCCTTCTCCACGTATCCTAGCCTTACGTCTCTTGGAGACTTCTGCATCAGTGATAAATCTCGCTGGTTAATGCAGCCTTAAATTTGGCAGTTAATTGAGTCTTCAGATTGCAGCGCTAGGACTCTCGCAATGAGTCGGTCTATATCATCTTTCCTATTACTTCTCCTTTTTTTGCACTCCACAGATTTATGTCTTCCTGCACATCCCATTTTCAAAGATCTTTCCCTCTCCCGTAGCAAGACAAACGACGACCACGAAATGCCTTGAAAATAAAAACACAGAGTGCTCCATAAAACCCCAGGCCCAAAATGGGCTTCAGAAAGTCACTCTGTCTCCTTTACTGTGCCCCCATGTCAGGAGCATCACCCCAGGGCTGACGTGAAAGCTTCAGCTATGTTCTTGGCCGCGTGTCCTCCGTGGGTACGTGGGCCTGCGGCGGGCACCCCGGTAGGTGTGTCCCTGGGTGCGAGGACCGCTGCCCACAGCTGACAGGTGGGGGCACCGGGCAGGTAAATAGCCTTGTCTCAGTCCACGCCTCCTCCTGGTCCCGAGCGCCCCCACCTCCAGGAAGGACTCCCGGGGCACCTGAGGCTGCAGCCTTTCCCTCCTCCAACCTCCAGAAGGCGTATCAGCTGCCCCACAGCCTTCTCAGCATCGACTGCCACCTCGAGGCAGCAACCATTTCACAGGACAATACCTTTGTATGTCACAGCAACCACAGTGGCCTCTGTGGTTCAGACACTGAGACGGGGCGGAGGGCAGCGAGTCTGTCCCACGGTCTGGGCTTCGGCTGCAAGACCTGGAGGTCGAGGGGCGGCTTGATGCGCAGGGGCCGGCGCCTCCCGGAGCCTCGCTCGCTCTGCCTCGATGGCTGGCGGCGGCTGCACCTGCTCGCTCCGCGTGGGCTCCTGCGGCTTCTCAGCTGCCTGCTGATCTCCAAGGGCAGGGGTCGGAGAGGAGAGAGCCGGAAGCTGCCTCCTCCCTGCGGCCTGGCCCAAAACTCATGTAGCATCAGTCGCGCGCCGTACCCCCTGGGTCAGAATAATCTAACCCCCAGCCCAGATTAAAAGGGAGGAGCACAGGGCAGCCCCGGTGGCTTAGTGGTTTAGCGCCGCCTTCAGCCCAGGGCCTGATCCTGAAGACCCAGGATCGAGTCCCACATCGGGCTCCCTGCATGGAGCCTGCTTCTCCCTCTGCCTGTGTCTCTGCCTCTCTCTCTCTCTCTCTCTCTCTCTCTGTGTGTGTGTGTGTCTCATGAATAAATAAATAAAATCTTAAAAATAATAAAAATAAAAGGGAGGAGCACAGACCCTCTTCTGGGGGCTGCTCCTGTATCCCTGGTGAATGACTATGGCCCGCTGTCCCCGCTCCTCACCAGACACAGAGGGTCCCGCAGAGGACGGAACTCAGCCTCAGGCTCGGTGGCCCGCCGTATCCCACGTGGACAAGGGCAGCAACGCTTTCTCTGTCTCAGCTCTTCACAGGAGAAGGTACGTCTTCCCGCGACCTGGGGGCCCAGGCGGGGGGGGGGGGGAGGAAAAAACAAACAGGTAATTCCTAAGAGAGTTAGCAATAGAATTTTCTAGTTGCCTACCACTTACCCCTGGGGACGCTGGGGGGCTACCTACGTGCTCTGCATTTCCTACCCTCGTTTGCCAGGAGGGGTGGCCAATGACAAATAAACAGAGACCTGCAAGTGGGGGTCCTGGGAAAGCTTTCTACTGGAGCTGACTTAGCCGGCTGATGCCTTTTCTGGTGCACCCTCGCTCCCTCCTCCTCTTTCATCTGATGGCTGGAAGAGCGGCAGCCACCTCGTGCCAATGAGGCAGCTGTGAGAGTAGCAGAACAGGAAGATGGAGTCGCAAGTCTGACAACGTAATGGGGCCGCCGCAGTAGTTCTGAGCTATCTACTTGTATTACGTGAGAGGGCAGACGCCCCTACCTTGCACCAGCCACTAGTATTTTGCATTTTATTAGATAGTAGCCAGGCACGATTACTGACAGAGCCCAGAGTTTTGCCTTGAGATTTTTGACTGTCTTCCTGCCTCCCACTCACCTAGCTCTAACCACCAGTGATCTTCCTGGCCCACTATTCCAGTGACCACCCTCCACTGCTCTGAAGTCTTCAATGGCTTCCTGATACATCTGTAAAATCCATTCTCTTTAGGGGGCGTCTGGGTAGCTCCGTTGGTTAAGCAAATGGTTAAGCATCTGCCTTTGGCTCAGGTTGTGATCTCAGGGTCCTGGGATAGAGGCCCCAGTAGGGCTTCTCCTGTTTGGTGGGAAGTCTGCTTCTCCCTCTCCCTCTGCCCCTCCCTGTCTCTTATCCCTGGCCCCTCCTCCCCCTTTCCCTGTATCTCTCTTGCCCCTGCTTGTGCTTTGTTCTCTCTCTTGAAATGAATAAAATCTTTTAAAAAACGATACTCTTTAGCATGACACATTGGCTCCTTTCCACCCAAGCCCAAGCTGAGCCTTATCTCCTGCCTCCCCCCCACCCCCAGACAATCAGGCCCTGGCCACTGCACACCTCTCAGCATCCTAGTTCTCACCAGCCCTCTGACACCTATAGTTTTTCTTTTTTTAATATATTTTTTAATGATTTTATTTATTTATTCATGAGAGACACACACAGAGAGAGAGAGAGAGAGAGAGAGAGAGAGAGAGAGGCAGAGACACAGGCAGAGGGAGAAGCAGGCTCCATGCAGGGAGCCCGACGTGGGACTTGATCCCATCTCTAGGATCACACCCTGGGCTGAAGGCGGCACTAAACCGCTGGGCCACCCGGGCTGCCCACCTATGGTTTTTTCACCTGAAATATTCTAGGTAGTGAACTCCTGCTTGTCCTTCAACACCTAACTCTAAAGTCACCTCCTCTAGGAAGCCTTCCCTGATGCCCTCAGAGTGAGCTACTGCCTCCTGTGGACCTCTTAAAGCAAGTTCCATGTAAAATATCACTGATCTGGAGCACCTGCCACACCCTATTGTGATTACTTATTTTTTAATCAGTCTGTCCCCCTAGACTGCAAGCTCCTCCAGGCTGGAACAGAGCCTGATGGGTCTGTTCATCCCCAGCTGTTAGCAAATCCTGAATGAATGAGCAGGAGGATGGGGGAATGGGTGAACAGCCCTGGCACCTGGGGACTCAGAGTCTTCATCCTTTACACTGTGGAGGCCTCCAGTGATGCCTGAGGACCCAGGAAAACTGACCAGGCACCTGGTAGAGGTACACCCCATGGATGCCTGTGCAGTGTCTGGGGCCCACGGGCACCCTGGAAACTGTCACTGGGGGAAGAGCAAAGGGCAGCATAAACATGGACTTCAGGTGCCCTCCACGTGGCATCAAAAGGCAGGGGAGGGTGGGCAGCCCCATCAGCGGTCTGCTTCTCTGTCTCACCCCACAGTCCAACAGCTCCCCTCCAGGGGGAGCCCCAGAAGTGGGAAAGACGGGCCGCTGCAGGCCACCACAGAGCAGGGCCAGGCACTAACTCCTCCAGTGAGAATCCCAACAGGCGGCGTTTCAGTTCCCGAAGCCCTGTCCCAGGGGAGCGCAGCTCCTCTCCACAGGGGCAGCACAGCCCGTGACCCTTAGCATCAGGGCCCTATTCTCTGGCCGGGAGCACAGTGGACCAGGGAGGGGAGCTGTGCGAAGCTCACAGCCGGCAGGAGGCAGAGCTGGGGACCCCCCGCCCCTCCCAGGGCTGCCCAGGCTGATGGCAGGGGGCGAACTGCAGGGCCCGGGGCCCTCAGAGGCCAAGGCTCCGCTCTCCCGGCCGAGCCCCTGGGAGGAGTGCTGGGCCTTCCCGCGGAGCTCCAGGCTTAATTTTAGCTTGGAGGCCTGCCACTGAGGCTTTAGCGAGAGGCAGGCCGAAGTTATGCGGGACAGCTGTCAGCTGGCACTCTGGGTGGGGCCTGTTCAGCCGGCAGGGGCACAAGTCTGGGGACACGGGACCGTGTCCCTGCCCCGAGTCTTTTCAGCGCCGCCGGCCACACGGCACAGGTCCCCTCCTGCGGCCCCCAGCCCCGCGATGATGGCCGAAGAGCACACAGACCTGGAGGCCCAGATCGTCAAGGACATCCACTTCAAGGAGATCGACCTGGTGAACCGAGACCCCAAGAACATCAACGAGGACATAGTGAAGGTAGGCTCGGCGGGCCTGCTGGGCGGCGCTGCCCGAGGGGTCGGGTCTGGGGCTCCGCGCACAACCCGCTGCCCTGCCCGGACGCCCTGCGCCTCCGTCTTCTCCAAATCCTCCCTCAAAAGGCAGCAGGTTACACCCCCGAAGAACGTCTGGCAAAAACAGGAGCAAAGCCTCAGCCGCACACACATGACGCGGGGGTGCCTGGAGCCCCCGAGGCCCCTCCCAGGAGCTCCTGGCCTGGGCCCAGGGAGAAGGCCGCGGGTGGCCAGCCTGGGTTCTCTTCGGCGCCAGGGTTATTTCTGCGGTCTCCGCGGTGGGCGCGGGGTTAATCTCCAGAGGGTGGCTTCCAGGGCCCGGCACGGCTGGGGGGACACTCATTTCCCCAGAGCACTGCCCCATGTCCAGTGCTCCTGGTGTGGGGGCCAGCTCCCCACCTGACCCCGGGTCCTGCGGCCAGGCCAGGGCAGAGGCCTCTCGGAGGGCACCCGGCTCCCAAAAGGAGCGCTCAGAGGACAGTCACCCAGCCTTTGGGGAGTCTCCCCCATGGCCTCTTTCCTCATCTGGATGCCACTAGCAGCCTGGCCACCTCCAGGCCCACACCCTCACTCCAACCTCCACTCATAGCCACAGGGTCCTTCTACAGCAGAATTCCTGGAAGCAGAGGGCCTAACCACCAGCATTAGAGTCACTGGAAGGGCTCTCAAAAGGGCGGTGCCTGGGGCCCCCGGGGCCTATGAAACGCATCCGAATCCCAGATCAGCCCCCACCAATAGAAATATAATGCGACCCATGATACCATCACCCCATGTCACTTTACGTTTTCTAAAAGCCACAATTTTAAAGAGGAAAAACAGACAGGTGAAACTAATTTTCATGATATTTTTGATTTAACCCAATATTTTCAAAAAAAATATCATTGAAGCAGGTAACTGATATAAAACAATTATCAGTGCACTATTATGCGGTCTGTTTTTTTTTTTTTCATCTTTGAAATCTAACATGTAGCTTACGCTTAGGCTGCATATCAGTTCAGACTCCAAATGTATTAGAAATCCTGTCCTGGGGCAGCCCGGGTGGCTCAGCGGTTTAGCACCACCTTCAGCCCAGGGCGTGATCCTGGAGACTCAGGATCGAGTCCTGCATTTGGCTCCCTGCATGGAGCCTACTTCTCCCTCTGCCTGTGCCTCTGCCTCTCTCTCTCTGTGTCTCTCATGAACAAATACATAAATAAAATCTTTTTTTAAAAAGCCATGCTTATTAAAAAAAAAAAAGAAATCATGTCCTGTATTAAAATTTCATAATATACACAGTTGAAATCGATTCCTGTGCCCAAATAGTTCCAGATACTTTTAAAAGTTTTCCAATCTCGGAATTAAGTATCTCTTTTTACATTTGAATTAAAATTACACAAGATATACAGTTCTTCTGTTGCACTGGTCATAGGTGAAGTGCTCAAAGCTCATGGCCACTGGATTAGACAGCATGGCTCTGGGCTTGCTCCGAGGCACAGCCCCTGTGCTGTCACCCTTTGGTGGGATATCTCCCATGCTGGATAAACTCTAACTTCTCTCCTTGGCTTTCAAGCCCCAACACAATCTGGCTCCAACCCTCTTCTTTCACCTTCCAGCTCCAACACCAGGAGCAGGCCACACCAACCAGAACATACTCCTCTGTCGATACCAGCAGCACCCTCCTCCCTGTGGTGAATGCCCCGCTCAGCTTTCAAGACCCACCTCAAATGTTACCTCCTCTAGGAAGCCTTCCTTAGCTCCTCCAGGCATAGTAGCTCCCTCCTCTGTGCCCCAATTTCCCTGAGAGCATTTATCCATATTAAATTGCTCGTATTAAAGCTCATATTAAATTGCGATTAGTGTATTTATCTGTATCACAAGTGGTGGAAATAGGGTACTTATAGCCCAGTGTGCTACACGGGGGAATTTGCTATATAAATGTAAAATAGTATTTATCATGGTTTGTGTAGTGTGGTCTGGAAGTAAGAGTCCCAAACTTGGCTTTAAAAGACTCGGTTTCAAGTTTACTCTCTTCTACCTAAAAGCAATAGCCCTGGACAAGTTACCTAGGTCTTCAGGACCTGAGTTTCCCTCTGTAAAATGAGTGTAATATCATTTACCTCCACCAGGTAAAGGACTCTCAGAGCAGTGCTGTGCAAATAAAAGTATAATGTGAGGAATAAATGAAATAAGGAGTTTGAAAGTGCCTAACACAGTCCCTGGCATGCAGCAAGGGTGTGACACGTGTGAACTGAGCTGGAGCTTGGAGGAACTTGCGGGGCAGGACAACTAAGCCATGGGCCAGCTTTTACATCCAGGTTCCCCTCTGGCTATCCCTAGCTGGCTGCTGGATGGAGAAGAAGACCCCAAGGAAGAATGTGGCTTCTGAAAGAGATCCACAACAGGTGACAAGTGTAGGGCACCTGGGTGGCTCAGTCAGTTAAGCATCTGCCTTTGGCTCAGGTCATGATCCCAGGGTCCTGGGATGGAGTCCCGCATCAGGCTCCCTGCTCAGTGGGGAGTCTGACTCTCCCTCTGTCTCTGCCTCCCTCTCTCTGTCTCTAATGAATAACTGAATACAATCTTAGAAAAACAAAACAAAAACAGGTGACAAATGTAGAGAGGCTCTCAGGTCCTACTGAGCCCAGGGTGAGCCAGCTCCAGGCTCCAGGCCCAGGTTATAATCCGATGGAGGGATGAGGGCAGCCACACAGATGCAGCTGTTTATGCAACTTCCCCAGGGGCTAGGGGCTGAGAGCTGTCTTTCCTGAACCCCAGAAAACATCCCTCAAAGGCTAAGCAAAAGACCCCGCAAATAATCTTGTCGAGAGGAGATTATTATTTGATATATTTATTGGACGTTTTCTGATTTGGGGAGTTATTGGACTTTCTTTTGCTTTCAATAAATAAAGAATGAAAAACTTTTGAAATTCAGAATGAGGATCATAAAATGGAGTCAGATAAATAGCACAAACAGGTTGGAGTAGACTTTAGGTTTATGTACTGTCTGTGAAAGAATAAAAAAAGGAAGAAAGCGGGGCCTGGTGGCTCAGTTGGTTAAGCAGATGCCTTTGGCTCAGGTCCTAATCCCAGAGTCTTGGGATAGAGCCCCATATCAGGCTCCCTGCTCAGCTGGGAGTCTGCTTCTCCCTTTGCCCCTCACCCTGCGCATGTGCATTCTCTCTCGCTTGCTCACTGGCTCATTCAAATAAAAAAAGAAAGAGAAAGAAAGAAAGAAAGAAAGAAAGAAAGAAAGAAAGAAAGAAAGAAAGAAAGAAAGAAAGAAAGAAAGAAAGAAAGAAAGAAAGAAGAAAGAGAGAGAGAGAGAGAGAGAGGGAGGGAGGGAGGAGAAAAGAAAAGAAAGAAAAGAAAAGAGAAAAGAAAAGAAAAGAAAAGAAAGAAGAAAAGAAAAGAAAAGAAAAGAGACAGGAGAGCTGGCCAGGAGGGGGCCTGGACAGTCTGTCCAAATGGGAGTCTGGGGCACCTCGGCTTCTTAAACCAAGTGGGGCAAAGACAAGATGGAGGGAGGCAGGAGGAAAAGGAACTAAGGGGGTGAGACTTAAGGAGAGAAAGACAAGCAAAGCAGAAACTCAGGAGGGACCCATCAGGGTGGTTGCACCAGTGCTAACAGGTGAAAAGGCTAGGGTGCAAGACACAGTAAGCTGCTGGAATAAGATTGAGCTAGAGACCCAAGTTCTGTCCCAGCCCTGACACAGGCTCCCTGTGTAACTCCAGGGAAATCACTCTCCCTCTCTGGCCTAAGTCCTGGGGTAAGCAGAGGTTGGGTGGAGAAGAGGGAGACCTGCCTCCTCCATCAGCAGGTGCTGAGGTTTCACGCAGAAAGCCAAGGATGGGAAGCAGGAGATAGACCCACGGTGTCTGTAGATTTGACGCCAGCAGACCAGAGGCACTGCCTTTTGACTTTACAGACTCAAAACTTCCCCAAACTTCCTCAAGGAAGGCCTGGTACTGCCCTTGAACCCGGGATGGAAGATGAGTGCCAAAGGCAGGGGGACAGCCCTACACAGACCAGCAGACTTGAACTGTGGCTCCCAAGGTTCTGGGCTGGGTCTCGGGCATCAGGGAGGCTTATGGGGATTAGAGCTGAGGATCTGGGGTGAGCCACCCCCTTCCCTCCACCCCTGATGGTCACCGCCATTCAGAGAACACTGATTCCAGGAATCATTACTGAGTGCCTACTGTGTGCCCAGTCCTCTGCTCTCTCAGAGGAGACGGTGACAAACACGACCGACCCACCGTGTATGAGTCGGTCATGCCAGGCTCTGGGGGGTGGGAGGCTATGGCAACAGTTGCGGAGCTCTCCACCATTCCCTTCAGACCCACATTGTAAACCTGCAGCCCTCCTGCCCATGAATTCCGGCTAGGCTGCACCCCCACCTCGAAGGCCTCTGAGTTCTTTCTGAGAGGGCTCAGGGCTGTCTCCCTAACCCACACCAAGGCACCCAGACCCTAAAGCAGAAATGCTCAAGCCCAAAGTAGCCCATGGGTTCCTCATCCTCAGGTTCCAGCCGCTTTCCCCTCAGCTACACAGCGTCAAACAGGGCAGGGGGCCGGACATGACCCCAGCCCATCATATGGTTCACGTGCCACCTCCAACCTTCATGTGCCACGAAACACCCTCCCCCCTCAGAAACACACTCAAAACACACCCTTTGCCTATCAGCTCAGGCTAAGAAACACCTGAAAGGACCCAGCAGCCACCAGTCCCGCAAACTCTGCTCCAAATTTGGGCCCATCTGGACACCCTGTTGCAGAAAGATGAAACTGACCTGGTACTTCCTCTTGAGAAGAATCCAACCTAACAGAGAGGATGAGACTAAAGTAATGCGAATATCTGGAGGAAGGTGCTGAGCGCCATAAATTAGTGCCTGATGAAGGGTCATGGGGTTTAACAGAGGAAGACCTTACTCTCATCTGAGAAAATCAGGAGCCAGCTCCATGGGGAGACAGTAACCCAGGTGCATAAAA